GCAGGGCTTTCCCCGTGCCAGCAGCACCAGGGCTCACGTGTGCCCTCCCTTCCCACCCGCAGGTGCTGGGACCCTGCAGAGAGCTGAGCAGCAGCCTGCTGAGGAGGGGCCGGTGATCCTGGAGCTGCAGAGGACGTGCGCAGGGAGCCTGGAGGAGAGGAGCTCCCTGACCCCTGAGCCAGGCCAAGTGCAGAAGGGGCAGGGCAGGCCTCCAAAGCAGGAGGAGAGCTCGGAGGTGAGCAGGGTACCTGGTTCACTTGTGGTGGGGAGTACAGGTGGGGCAGAGCGCAGGAGGAGCCCGGGGTGCTGTAAGGAATTTGGGGAACAGAGAGACCTGAAGAGTGTGAAGCTTGCATTGATGGAGGCTGAAAACACCCCAAGCTGCATGAGCAGGAGCTCCCTCCGAAGTGCAGATAGCAGGGGTGCTGGCGTGGGCAGGCCGGGTTACAGTGCATGGAGCCACAGCTCCCTGCCTCTAAACGTGCTGGCCAGGCTGCCCCAAAGGACCGAGCAAATAGATCATGATGAGCTGGGCTAAGGTCAGCACATGAGCTCCTGTGTCCACAGCTGCATCCACATCACATGTCTGCTGAAGACTGGGGAGTTGTGTCCCCTTACCTGTCATGGCTAACATTGCAATTCGTGGTAGTACCCAGTGATTGCAGACAGGGCTGTGGGCCTGGGAGCAGCTGGCGCAGGAGACACTGATGGTGCAACGCTTGTGCCTGCAGCTCCGGGAGGTGTTTGAGGACGTGGCGGTGTATTTCACACGGAAGGAGTGGGAGCTGCTGGACGATGAAGACAAGGTGCTTTACCGGGACCAGATGCTGAAGAATCACCAAGCCCTCGTTTCCCTGGGTAAAGCTCTGGGTCTTGCTTCCCCCCAGAGATATGTGAGCTCTGCAGTTTTGTAGTCATCTCCTGTTCCAAGAGTCTCATCCTCATGAACTTTTGGCTGGAGTTTTAAATCCCCTTCCTCCCCACTGCTGTCAGTGATCAGGCCTCTCTCATGTTTCAGACTGAGATCTGCTCCCTTATTTGCTCCAGCCGCCTTCACCTGTGCCTTCCCCATTCTTGTGACTCCTGGTTCTTCCATATGCAGCAGTTTCTTGGCAACATGATCTCCCTTTCCCTTCTCAGCACATTCACACCATCTCCAGGTCATTGTATACGAATACACTAAGAGCTGTTCCTTGGGGGAGGTTTCTGACTTCCTCCCTGTCTGGCCTAGCGAGTCCTCTCCTGGCACATGTAACAATCCTAGCATGCTCCATACTGTGATATCTAAATCCCTTTTCTCCTGTCGTTATGACCCAGCTGAAGTTAATACAAAGTCATATCAGCCCCTGCTGCTACAACAAGGGGATGCTGTATTTCCTCAACTGCTCCTCTAGTGATGTGTACACGTTGTGTAACTCAGGTTTCTCTGGCCAGGGGTGCTTCCAAGCTCTGGGTTGAGGTACTGAGGTTTGACTAGGTGAGTTTGCTTTTCTGATGCTTTGTTTCCCCTCCCTTTCCCCCAGAGGTTTCTCTTAGGAAAGTGCTTCAATGTTTTGTCCCACTCGGCAAACACCATCTAGATCATTTCTATATTATAGCCTTTCACATGCTGTGAAATGCCTCTTTCGGCCTTATTTTGTCTGTATCCATGACTCCTAGGAAGTTGGTGTTCAGCCCTGCAGTACTTGCCAACCTGTGCACTCATTGCCTCTCCTGGGATGATCCTCCCAGTGGATGGGATGATTGCTCAGTTGCAGCTACAGTTATTATGGAATCATCCTATCCATCCCTGGTGATGATGAATTACTCTCTCCCCCAGTAAAAACTCTCAGTGTCAGCACCTGCTTTTCAGTGCCATGAATCCCTTCACTAAGCTCATTTTCACCTCTTTTCCTGGAATTACACTGATAAGATGAATGTTATCCATCCATTTGTGTGTCCAATAACTCTTTTTAGTACCTTGAAAACAATGAAAGCTTTGTTTTTGCTCCCCTGTACATCATATATTTCACAGATGTTAGGGTTGGAAGAGAGCTCAGGAGATCATTGAGTCCAGTCCCCTGCCCTGGGCAGGAAAGAGCACTGGGGTCAGATGATCCCAGCCAGGTGCTTGTCCAGTCTCCTTTTAAAGACCCCCAAGATAGGCGAGAGCATCACCTTGCTCGGAGCCCATTCCAGATTCTGGTAACCTTTATTGTAAAGAAGTACTTCTTGATATCTAACCTAAATCTGGTCTCTGTCAGTTTGTGGACTGTTGTTTCTAGTTACTCCAAGGGGTGCCCTCCTAAACCGAGTATCCCCTATTCCTTGCCCCCCTCCTCCAAAGAAATTGTACATGGCCACTAGATCACCTCTCAGCCTTCTCTGGACCATCTTGAGGTTGTCCACATCCCTCTTGAAGTGCTGTTGGCTACAAATGTCCAACTCGGGATCCTTAAAATTCTAATTTATTAGGCAGATTGAAACACTGTAATGAGTTAAATCATAAACCTTGGGGCTGGTCTCCCCCCCCCCCCCCCCCCCCACGCACAGTATACCTATCCTACAAGCACTGGAGTCTGCCATCGATGGCCAGTCGAGGCTTCTTTCAGCATGGTGTTATCCTCCAGAAGGGGGTCCCCGGCTGGTCCTTCTGGCTGGACAGGTCTGGTCAAGTTGGAGATCAAGAGGGCATCGCTGAAGGTCACTTTTCACTGCCTTTTATCTGTCCTTGGCAGACTTTGGTGACTCCCCAGTTTTCAGGTTTGCCCAATCCAGGGGTCATTGACCCTCGTGGGACTCCCCACCCCGGTGGCTACTGGATGGTATCTGTCAGCACAGGGGTCATCTGCATGAACGTGCAGGATTGGAAGTCCGTTGATGAATTTTGAATAGGGCTCTGGGAGCGGTTGATCTGGAGATATTCAGCCCAAAAGTTGGTCCCTGGCGATGATTAACTCAGGCCAGGACTTCTAGCCCTTGATCAGTGAGGTTTAGAGATTTCCCGGTTGTTACATTGTCTTCTATTGAGTTCTTCCCTTGGTTGATCTGTAGCTTCCCAGGTGTTAATTGCTGTCTGCTACCATGTTACACATTCAATCACTGATTCACTTGCTCTTTCAGGGGCCAGCCTGATACAGGGAAGGGCAGTTTGATTCCTGCCCTTGTTAACATTGTTACAATGTATAATTTACTTATGAAACTAAACACATTCAGTTGAAAGTTGAAAGGTGAGGAGTATAAAATATAAGCTACAAATGCCATGGCACACAAATAGATAAAAATACCAAACTACAAGGGGAGATACAAAATGCACACATACAAATTTTAAAACACAATTCCTTATCTTAAAGTGAAAGAGAGAGGAAGGAAGAAAAGGTAGAAAAAGAGAACATATCCAAAGAGGGGAGAGCAAATGCAGGCAAGAGGAAAAGGGGGCTTTCTGCTACAGTGCGGTGCCTAGAACTGGACACAGTACTCCAACTGCAGCCTGACCAGTGCTGCATAGAGGGGAAGCATCACCTCCCTGGACCTGTTTGTCATGCATCTGCTAATTCATGATCAAGTGCGATTAGATTAATTGATCACTTTGTCACATTGACGACTCATGTTCATCTTGGAGTCAGCTATGACTTGGATCCCTTTCAGCTGCTGTGCTGCTTACAAAGTCATCTCCCAATCTGTAGGTGTCTTGGAGATTCCTTTTGTCTAGGTGCAGTAATTTGCATTTATCTTCATTAAACTGCATCCCATTCTGTTCTGCCCACTTTCCCAACCTGTCCAAATCCCCCTGAATCCATTCCCTGCCCACCAGTGTGTTTACTTTTCCCTATAATTTGGTGCTGTCCATGAATTTGGACAATGTGCTCTCCATGCCCACATCCAAGTCACTGATGAAGATATTGAACAGCACTGGCCTGAGGACTGAGCCTTGGGGAACTCCAGTGCCCACATCTTTCCAGGTCAACACTGACCCATCCACCACTGCTCACTGGGTGTGTTCCATAAGCCAATTTGCCACCCACCTGACCCTGTAATCATCTATCTCACAGCCACTTAGTTTACTTATGAGAATGGGATGAGACACTGTAGCAAAGGCCTTTTAAAATTTCTAGTAAAAGATATCTACATCAACTTCCGCATCCAAACATTTTGTGACGTAGTTGTAAAAAGAAACAAGGTCAGTCAGGCAGGATCTACCTGCTATGAATCCATTTTGGTTACCCTTCAGCATTATTTTTCCTGCTGGGCTTCCGCAAATGTAGTCCTTAATCTTTTCGAAGGTTTTCCCAAGGCTAGAGGTGAGACTAACTGGCCTGTAGTTACCTGGATCCTTCTTCCTCCCCTTGAAAATAGGGACCATCCTGGCCCTTTTCCAGTCCTCTGGGATGTGTTCTGAGTGTGACAAGTGCTCAAACAGTCGTGCCACTGGTTCTGCTGTGACACTGGCAAATTCCTTCAGCACTCTTGGAGGAAGATCATCTGCACCTGCTGACTTAAACAGGTCCAGCCCCTCCCAAGTGTCCCTTCACTAGGTCAGCACTAATTGTTCATGAGCTGGTATCAGTCCTGTGCCTGTCTATAGTCCAACTGGGAGGTATGTCATTATTTGTGTTCAGAAATACAGATGCATGGATCATGCATTTCCTCACCTGTCCCTGGTGACACTGTCAGTTAATGCCCTTTCTAAATCAGGAGTCATTGGTGCTTTGTTTCCTATGAGCATTCTTCATCCACCTGGGTAACAAGAACTGTTATCTCTTGAAGGCTTCTCCCTGCAGTGCCTTCTCTTTCATCTTAAATGCCCATCCTCCCCTGTCCATCAAGGCCCTAGTAGACACCTTGAGTTCATTGGATCCATTCCCCAAATCCAAGTTGGATTCTATATCCTGTACCCAGTCACAAATGCTCTTTAACCACTGTCCACACAGGATATCGAGGTCCCACACCTGACTTAATCAGCAGCATTGAGCGAGGACAGGTGGAGCTTGGGGAATGTGATGAAGAGGACAATGGGGAAATCTTAAAGTCAGAGGATGTGCTGCCAGGTGAGTTGTGGCTTCCCAGCCGGACTCTGCTGTCAGTAAACTTCCATGGTGCCAGCAGGACCTGGAAACAGGAGGCCTAACCTGTGCTACCATAGCAGAGTGCTAACTGTGAATCTGGGGGCACATGCATTGTCCCCCCCCCACACCATCCCAGGGTGCACACAGCAGTGGGATCCCGCAAAATCTCTTACTGGTGCACCCCTAAGGAGCATGGGTGTGTGGGTATGGGATTTGTGGGGGGCAGTGTGTGTGTGTATGGATGGGTGTATATGTGGCATGGGGAGAAGGTGTGTGGATGTGGGTGGGTGGTTTGTGGGGAAGTGTGGGTGGTCATGGGGTTTGTGGGGGGTAGTATGTGTAGTATGTGTGTAGCAATGAATGGGGTTTAAGGGTATGTGGGGTGTGCATGGGAGCGGCTGCATGAGCCCAACTGAGCCAGTCAGCGTCTGCCCCCGCCCCACAACAACTCAGAGCCCGTATACCCTGCAGCAGCTCCCCCGCCACTGCCAACAGCGCACAGCCCCAGCGTGGCCTACCTCACCTCTGCCCGGCCTTGACACATTCAACTGCCCCTGGCCATGCAGCATGGGCAGAGCAGCTCTTTCTCACTGCTGCCCCCAATCCCACAGTAGCAGTGGGGACCAGTGCTCAGAGCTCTGACCCTGCGTGGCCTGTGTCAGCTCCAGGCTCACCCTTCCAGTCTGAGCAGTAGCAGCAGCAGCCGGGAAGAAACTTGCTCATTGTGGGGGGAAAAGCAGACCCTCCTCCTCACTGCTGCCAGTCAGTTTTTTGTGTGGCTGCCTCCGACTAATTGAGCTGCCTTGTGGCTTGGGCACCACTGCCCCTGGGCTGCCCTGGAGCTGGTGTGCACTGTCATTGCTGCTGCACAGGTCAGCCCAGAGGTAGCCGTGATGGAGCTGCAGGGCAGCCCAGCGCAGTGCGGGCTCCGGGCAGCCACACCAAAAACTGTCCAGTGGCGGCAAGAGGGAGGAGCCAATTTTTCCCTGCAACAAGCAACATTTTTATCCTGATGCACCCGCTGCTGCAGCTGTTCAGCCTGGAGGGGTGAGTCTGGAACCAGTGCTGGGGCCCAAGCTCAGCAGCGGCGGCACAGGAGAGTCTGTGCAGGGCTGCCCTGCATCTGCTCTACGTTGCCACTGCTGCCCCGGTGGGCGACTCGGAGATGGAGGTGACACAGAGGAGACTCAGGGCAACCCTGCGCGGGCTCCACATGACTATACCTGGAAGCACTGGTGTCAGGAGAGGCTGCTTTTGCCCTGTGCTGAGATGCAGTTTCTCTCTCATGCTGCCACTGATCTGCCTGGGCAAGGCAGCCTGGAGCTGGTGTGGTGCGTACTACAGGGACATGGTAGGTAGGAGCCTGGAGCTGGTGCACACTGCTACCAGCTGCTACTTTCTGCCTAGTGACAGCCAGAAAGAGCTGCAGCTGCCCTGACTGCCTGGAAAGGCAGCCCAGCTGCAGATCCATCCCAGGCCCGCTTTTTGCCCAATGGGCAGCAGGATGCGCCACAGCTGGGCAGCACCTTTCCCAGGCAAGTCCAAGAAACCCTCCATGGACTGGATAAAGCCTCTCCATGGGCTGGATCTGGCCCACAGGCCATATTTTGCACACCCCTGCTGTAATGTTTCCCAGCAAGTGTTGTTCCCACTCTCTGAAACTGAACAGTATGGAAACAAGCAACTGTTCCCTTCTTTGCCTTCTAATGACAGATGTTAGGGGACAGTCAGGTTTGCGGTCTTGATTTTCAGCCCAGATCTAGTTTCCATGGACTGCCATGATCTTAAGTTGCTGTCTTGACTCAGCAATGTCAGAGTTAATTCCCCAGCCCAAAGTAGCCACCCTTTCCCAGGGCATTATGGGATTTGTAGTCCCCCCATTGAAATGAGCATGGTACACAGAGGTTCTGCGTAGCCATTCCTGTGGGACAAGAAAGAAGCTGAGGCTGTCTCTGGCTGCTTCTGGTCAGGTTGGCCTGAAACCCAGGAAGAGTCTCACCATGGTCTCAGTCTGCATTAAATGGCTCCATGGCACGGATGGGATTCAAAATCTTTCAGGTTGTGGCAGAAAAGTTCATGGGGGTGGAATCCCCCATAGTTTGCACCAGAATTGCTCCATATTACCAGATTTGCCCATCACTTTGGGGTTTGCTCATTTATTAGGGGTACATTTCTACTGTCTTTCTAATTCTATCAGCGTGTTGTTTGTGTTGCTTCTGTTTCTATAGGGAGCTGTATCTCTCCCTTCTGCAAGTCCTCACCCCTAGTGGAGCTGTCTTGCAGGACTCGGTTTCAATGGGGCTGGGCTCCTACAGTCACCAATCGATCACACACACACAGACACAACACGACACAACACACACACATGACACGCCTGACTCAGCCGGGTTGATCAACACGGACAGGCTGACACCCTCATATGCCAGGAATCAGTTAATTAAAGTAACAATGAACTGCAGTCAGACACAAGCACACAGGTGAACAGAAGACCACTGAATCCACCTGGGTGTACAGCTAACACCCTAATGGGCCAGCATCCAGTTCATTAGGGCATGTCTAATATAAAATGGGTCAATCAGCCTATGTAGGCTGATCCCCTTATGTGTCTCAAACTCAGCATGTCCCAGTCTTTGCCCTAACTGTCCTAGTAGTGGTAGCCTCTTGATGAGTGGACCCCATGGTGTTTTGGGGCTTTACAGGGATCTTTGGCTCAGGTAAAAGAAGTGTTGCTGCAGAGAAAGTGCGGAAGGGGAAGTAGAGAAGGAAAAAGTCGCCCGGTTAAAATCAGTTTGACTATAAAAGTTATTTATTGCTAAGTATATTATATTTATGATGGTACAAGTAGTAATAGCCATGCAAGGGAAAATTAACTAAAACAATTACAATATTACCCTGGTTCAGTTGAGTATTTGGGGAAACCTAGCTCAAGCTTAACTAATAAAATTCAGGTTCAGAAAGCTATGCCTAGACAGAAAAAGAAAGAGAGAGCGAGAGCTGGGATCTAACCATTGCAAAGGACTCGGGTGTTTTGTTGACAGGCAAAGTTCCCGGCACTCCATGGGTGCATGCCCTGCACAAGACCTTTTCCCTGAAACCAGGCAGGAAGCACAGCCCTGCTCCTCTCACAAGAGAGCGCCACAGCTCTATGTCCTTGCCTTATCCTCAGCCCCTTAGAGCATGAAGCTATTCAGGCACTGCCCTATTGCATATGTCCCACATCCCATATGTGTGCTTGTCCCAGCAGGGCCTGAGGGGATGGTATGGACAGCTGGGCCAGGTACTCTGAAGTCTGGGTCTGTTCTTCACCAAGTAGGTAACATTACCCAGCACAGGGAACCTGCCCCACCCTTGCCTCCAGCATTTGGGGTTTTGGCAGGAAGACTTTGTTTTCTTGAAGGAACACAATGCGAAGGTCCAGGCCTGCTCTGAGGCCCATCCCAGGAGACGGAATAGCAATGTTTGCCCTTTGCCAGCAGGGTAGGGACTATCCTGGAGTTTCTCTTTCCCATGCAGGAGATGCCTGCCTGCTGAGCAGAGCTGAGGAGCAGCCTCCTGTGGAAGGGTCTGCAGCCCTGGAGCCAGCACAGATTTCCCCAGGGAGTTTGGGTGAGATGGACTCCCTGAGACCTGAGATGGAGCCATGCCACAAGACTCAGGGGAGGTCCCAAAAGCAGAAGGAGAATGTAGCCATGAGCCAGGTACCATCTCCAGTTGGGCATGAGAGTGGAGAAGGGGCAGAACCTAGAAACAGCCCTGAGTGCAGGCAAGAATTTGTGGAGCTCAGAGACCTTACGAGCCACTGGAAAGATGCACTGCATCCAAGCAAAGGCAGTGGGGAGGGCCTCAGAGGTAAGCCAGAGCTCACTGCTATCAGACCTGGCTCTTCACAAGATAAGGTACACTGGGGAGAAGTCCCATGTATGCACCAAGTGTGGGAAGAGCTCCACCTGCCTCTCTTCCCTCATTGCTAACTTCCAGACTCATTCTGGAGAGCTACCCCACCGCTTCACCAAATGGGGAAGAACTTTGTGTGCCCCACAGACTTGGTCAAGAACCTACATGTGCAGAGGGAGACATGTCAGGCACAGCTGTCTCAAAAGTTGCAAGCCCTCACCCATTTTTTTTCCCTCTTTCAGGACTGGTGCATCCACCTAGGGAGGAAGACACATCACTGCACTGAGTGCAGAAAAAACTTCACCTGCTTGCAAGACCTGTCCAAGCATGTGTGTGTGCAGCACTGCTGCACGCAGTGTGGGAAGAGATTCAGGCAGCTCTCCGACCTGGCGAGGCACTGGTGCATGCACACAAAGGAGAAGCCACATCAGTGCTCAGAGTGTGGGAAGAACTTCACTCACTCCTCCAGCCTGGCTAGGCACCAGCGTATCCACACCGGGGAGAAGCCAC